CAGAACCAACAGATCTCTGTGGCAGAAGCCTGAATCAGTAAAGCCAAGGAGATTGGTTTGGCGTTAGCCCTGTCTGCCTCTTTGCATTACACAGTAGGCTGGAGAATTGTTGGATATAAACTTTTGAAGTGGTGGTAATTGAACATCGTGAGCCTCTGAAGGACCTCCCAGCTGCTTATCACAGATATTTCAAAGAGATCATGTACTTCTAAGAGCCTTGCTCTACTGAGCTGAAATGTTCTCCACCATCCTGGAGTCAGTAGAAAATCATCCTCACATGGGATCATAGAATCCTAGGATTGGAAGAGACCTTGGGAGGTCATCTAGTCCAACCCACTGCCTAGAAGCTGTCAGTGGGGATCCATGGCTATTAGACCTGATGGCAGGATGAATGTTTCTGAAGGCCATCTGCTGGGAGACTGATGGGCTTCCTTGTGCGGTTGGTGGGCCACCATGAACACAGAGACCTGGACTAGATAGCCCAAGGGCCGATCCAGCAGGACACTGCTTAAGTTCTAATGAGTCCTGAGACCATCCTAGATAAATAGTGTCCAGCCTTTGCTTGAAGACCTCCACTGATGGAGACAAGCAAGTTCACTGCTTAATAGCTCTCACAGTCAGGAAACTCTTCCTTATTTCGAGTTGGGATCTCCCTCGGTAGAGCTTCCACCACTGGTTCTTGTCCTACCCTCAGGCACCAGGAAAATAAATCCACACCCTCTTCCCTGCGTTAGTATTTCAAGTAGCGGAAGACTCTCATTGTGTCTCCCTTTCCTTCTCTTCTTGTCAGCCTTCCCAGGTAGACCAGACAGGAAACATGACCAGATGTCCTCCTTCTACTTTATTGCAAAGCTACATTAACAGAAGCTTGCAAGTCTGAAAGTACAATTCTCGCCCCCCTCATTCCCCACCTCCTTTACAGCCGGAGAAACTAGGGAGGGTCCCTTCTGAGCCTCTTGCCCCACCCACTATCCAGCTGTGGACTATGCCCTCTCTTATCTGACCATTCCCTAGGCAGCGTCTCTTCGCCCACCCTCCCAAGGTCTTTCCCACATACCATTACACTTCTTTGGCATACAGATATCCATTTCTCTCAACTGTTCTTCATAGGACTTGACTTTCCAGCCCCTCACCATCTTCATTGTTCTCCTCTGCAGTCTTTCCAGCATCTTAGCATCCTTCTGGTATTGTAGAGATCAGAACTGGGCACAGTATTCCAGGTGTGGCATGAAGTGGAACTATCAGTTCCCATGATCTCAATGTTACAGCCCCTCCTCATTTAGTGGCTACCTTGTTTAGTGACCATTCGCAAATATGACAGTAATAAAAAGACATCATTATCCGACCAGAGCATGTACTTACAACCAAATTTCATGTGCCAGACAGCAACGCATGCCAGAGTGAGAGTAACATTGGCGTTGCTGCATGAGAGAACTTTATCTAAATGAAACAGCAGCTACCAGTTACCTTGACAGCATCTCTCTCTCTCTCTCTCTCTCGTCACATCTTCGCTTGGTGACCATTTTGCTTAGCGACCATTTCGCTTTCAGTTTAAGGAATGGATTGCAGTTGCTAAATGAGGACAGTGTGTACACCTCTGTTGATACAGCCCAAGATTGTATTGGCTCTTTTGGCAGCTGGAACACACTCCTGGCTCATGCTTAATCTGTGGTCTCCCGGGACACCCAATATTTATTATTTATATTTATTTGTGTGTGTTCGTTTAAATTTATTGGCTGCCCAACTCCAGTGGACTCTGGGCGGCGTAAAAAACTAAAAAACATAAAAACAGCTAGAAACATTAACCTGCTGAACCAGATACCCCCCATCTTCTACTTGTACATCTGATTTTTCCTATCTAAGTACAGAACCCTACATCTCTCACAACTGAACAGCATTTTGTTAGAAAAGCCTTAAAGTTTGAGTCTATGAGAATCCTTCTGAACTTGAGCCTGTCTTCTGAGCTGTTAGCAATCCCACTCGTTCCCAGCTTTGTGTCATCTGCAAATTTGCTGAACATCCCTCCTGTGCTCTCATCTAAACAGGTCCGGTTCTAGGCCTAGGCAACCGAGACAGTCACCTCAGGCATCCAATTTTAGAGGGGCACCAAAACTGAAAAGACTTCCAAAGTACACAATACGTGTACAAAAGCTGATAATCGTTCCTCATTGCTTTAGAATTTTTCTTTCTACACTTTTCGAAAACATACATATAATTTTGCAGAATTGTTGCCATATGCCAACAATGGATGCTGATATAATTAATATTTTTTACTGCGATTCATGGTAAAAATGTCCAAGAGAAGAAAATAATAAGCATAAAGCTCAAAAACATGAAGAAAAAGAGAAAAAAGAGGGTGCCTAACAAAATCGGAAGATGAGCCCAAGCAGAGGGGACACCAGAATATGACCTTGCCTGGGGTGCCAAAACGTTTAGAGCTGGGCCTGAATTTAAGTGATTTATAAACATTTATTTGTTTGTTTATTTATTTATTATTAAATTTATATGCCGCCCATCTTCTCCAAAAGGTGACTCTTTTGGGGGGAGAAAAGCCCTGGGTCCAGGACAAAACACTGAGTCACCCCACTGCATACCTCTTTCCTTGTAGACGTAGCCCAATGAGGACCACATGTTGGCTATGGTTGTTCAGCCAACTGCGAATCCACCTGGTAGTGGGATCATCCATCCCACATTTTATTAAGGAGGAGGCAACGGGCAACTTTATCAAATGCCGTACTGAAATCTAGGTATATTTACAGCATACCCTTCGTCTACTAATCTACAGGTTGTCCTCAAGTTACGACAAAAACTGGGGCTGGAATTTCCGTAACTAAGTGATGCAGTCATAAGGCACAATGTCCTGTGACTGCATCACTTAGTAACAGCAATCCCAGCATTCCCAGTTGCTGTCATTAAGCAAGGTTCGCAGTCATTAAGCGAGCACCTCCTCACAACTTCCTGCCGGCTTCCAACAACCAAAGTCAGTGGGGAAGCCGGCAGGAAGTTGCAAGTCCCAGGCAGTGCACAAGGAGGCTAGAAGGCAAGTAAGTGGCTGCCTGGTGGGAGAGGGAGCGAGGGGGGGTGTGGGTGGCCAGGTAGAGGAGGGTGTGCAAGGGTGCACGAGTGGCTGGGGAGGCACGGCGTGAACATACCAAGGCTCAGGGAGGGTGCGTGGCTGGGGTGAAATTACCTGAACAGCTTATGATCTTCCTTGCCAGCTGCCCTATTGACTTTACTTGTGGGAAGCTGGCAGGGAATGTCACAAATCACAATCACATGATTGTGTGTAATGGGATGTGGGAAAGATCTTGGGAGTCTGGGCCCAGAGACGCTGCCACAAGAACGGTCAGATAAGAGACAGCATAGCCCGCAGCTGGATGGTGGGCAGGGCAAGAGGCTCAGAAGGGACCCTCCCTAATTTCTTAAGGCGTAAAGAAGATGGGGGAGAATTGTACTTTCAGACGTGGAAGATTCTGTTCGTGTACACTTACAATAAAGTAGAATTAGCTCATCTGGTCGTGTTTCCTGTCTGGTCCACCTGGCCAAGCTGACACCATGGGGGTGCTAGGAACTTAGAGGAATGGCTGTAACCACCACTTGTTCAGCATCATCGTAACTTCAAATGGTCGCTGAACGAGTGGTCGTTAACCAAGGACTACCTGTACTCCGTCCAAAAAAAAAAGCAGTAAGATTGGTCTGGCACGACCTCTTTTTAACAAAGCCACGCTGGCTTCTAGTCATCACCTGGTTCTTAGATTTCTAAGCGGTAGAAAAGACCTCGTGGAAGAGTTTCCCAGGCATTGATGTGAAGCTGACATGAAAATTCCCAGTTCCTCTCCTGCCTCTATGGCCTCTGCTCCCAATCTCTGGCAGTCCTCTGACTTCCCTCCAAGGTAATGGGTGACAAAGCCGAAACAATTTTACCCACCTGGAAGGCTGCCCTTGGCTGAGGCTGTGCATTAGGGTACCTGACATCGCCCATCAAGGACTGGCCATGAGAGAGAATGACTAACTGCAGCATATGCTTGTTGAATAAGCCACCACGGGCAATTAGCAGGAACAATAACAATAACTGGTGATCCTATCCGGAACACCCTCCTCCTGGCGGTCTTGCCCCGATCCTGGTGGCTTTCACAAGGCCTTAAAGTCCTGCTTTTGCCATCCAGCCTGGGGCCCTGGGAGCGTGGGTGAGCCCATTTCTTGGGTGCGTTGATTGGGACAACTGTTAGTGCTGTTGCCCGGCTGCTATTTTGTTATTTACACGTTTGTTTTTATTCTGTTTGTTAGCCGCCCAGAGTCACGTCCTTGAGATGGGCAGCCATGTAAATTTGATGAATAAATAAATGAAGTGGGAAAGGTTTGGATGGCCCTGACCTTGTTGGCCTTCAGGAAGTCCCTGAAGACCTGCTTTTCCCAAGTGGGGGGGAGGGCCAGGTTACACCCATCTGTAATAATGGAAATTGATTGGCCATGGTGACGTTATGCCTGTTCTGTGCTAGTGTCTATTTTGTTGGCTTTCATTTTGGTTTTAATTCTACGTTGGCTACCCAGAATCAGAGTTTGCAAGCTGGGTGGTGTGATGGAATGGAATTATGAAGGCCAGGCTCAGGGAGAGAAACATTTTCTTAGCTCCCCAGAAGAGCGTGGGAGGAACAAGAGGATGAGACTGGTGCCTCCCTGAGGAATTCACACTGTTGTGGCTGGAGGACTTTGGGGACTGGGGTTTCAGTCTGGGAAGATTCTTGCTGGAGGTATTCAAGATGGCATGGCATGGCATGGCATGGCATGGCATGGCATGGCATGGCATGGC